TTTTTTTTTTTTTTTAACTGAGAAATCAACAATTCACAATTAAGTGAGTTGATGATTTAATACTGACGGAAACGGAAACACTTTTCTGAAATAAAGTGTTCACTGAATAAATATGATTCTGGAACGTACTGATCTTCATCTCCTGGCTGACTACTGGTCTTCGATTTGAACGTTGATTGTGGTACTCCCCGTCATAGGTACCCCTGGAAAATTTCAGAGATGCGCACATGTACAAATGAGGGTAACTAGCAATCGTGGCAACTACCTTTCATAATTATCTACTCGACACGCGGCACATCATTCGCGGCACGTCGTAATGCGGTATACCTGCTCCTCATCAAGTGAGTGCGGCACACCTACACACAGCACCTGGCGAAAATTGCACCTGCGACGTCGACGTAGTCTGTATGGCTGATCATATCTGCATCTTGGCTAGTGATCCTTAATGTACTAAAGTGCTAACTCTCTGTAATTTCTCAGTGTACTGTGATCAAACATGGTATGGTATCCTGCTCTTCTGGCGTCATGCATACTTGAATGGAAAGCTTGGTTGTCACCCTGGCATGATCTGCTGCTGTTGATTGGTCTTCTTCGCCGTGTCGAAAATCGACATGTTGTACCTGCAACTGTTTACCTTCCCTGAGGTCAAACTTAACCTCAAGAAAAGTTTATCATAAACTGATCCTTCCTACGAATTCTCAAATCATCTGTGTTTGAGAATCGAGGCTCTGAACATACTGAAATTGACTGATAAGTCTTGTCTTATTAGACAGACCATCTTCGATCTTGACATGACTGACCTGAATATTTTCATGACTGAATAACCATGACTTGATTCTTACATGACTGAATCATCTTTGCTTGAACGCTGAAAGCTATCCCGAGACAACTACAATAGTTTCTTCGGAGTTGAGTACGTGATATTTACTGACTTACTTGGCTTGATAAGGTACGACTTCAAGTTTCCAGGTAAATCTGGACTAATAGCCTGTATATCAGACCGCCACATTTTACCCGGCTGAACAACTATTATACGCCGACCTTACATCATGAACATAAACTGTAAATCGTGAACATTGGCTCATGACTGTGTACTATATAGGGCTGCTCCAGTATCAACTGGTCCCGCAAGTACTGAATAAATAAATGATTTTAAACTTGGCAATTAACTTTCAGAGTATCTAACGGGTAAGATACCTGACTTAACTGACTCTAAAGGTTGTTACTTCTGGAACTGTGCTGCTCCGGTTCCAGCTTCAAGCCTCCATGGTATACCCGGCTTAGTGGCTCTTATTTCAAGCCCCCATGGTAACCCGGACTTTTGGCTCTTATACACTGAAAAACCGTTACTTGATAAAACTTGAAAATCTTAACAACCTTTAATGTGAAAACTTGTTGCCTTGAACTTGCTTTACTGACTTGACTTAGGAAAATTGAACTTATTTCCAGTGTAACTCAAGGAATTCCTTCCTTGGAATATGCCAACTAATTGGCAAAACAGACAATTTTCAATAGAAAATGTCTGAGGAACATGATTGCTAAGATTTGTATAACATAATTGTTTACAAATCACTGAATGAGGCATTAACTTAATCTGAATAAATCTAGAATGGAATCTAGGGTTCTCAATCCTAGCTCCTCTTTAGAGTTCTGAAATCGTACTTGAATCCCTTCACTGATGACTTTATTGAAGCTGATCAATAAAGGACACAAATCTCTTGACGAGTGGCTAAACATGACTGGGGAATACTGGTGTAAAATTCCGAGTATATTGGCTATTGGTCATGAACATGATTCGAGCATCTTAACTATGTCATAACTGAGGAATTTCTGAGCATAGAAATAGTAAATTGTTTATAATCTGAACTTAATCAGCACTTACCTGGTAGTCGGCGAGGGGTGAGTATGACATATTCGGGTTTTCTGAAAACTTTCTGACTCAAAAAAAAAAATTTTTCAGAGACGCAAAAACGTTGCTCTGATACCAACTGTAACACCCCGCTTTTCCATAAACATCAGAGTGCGCAACTCGAAATTTTATTGAAAATAACATCATTTTTACATTGCGAAAT